CTCTCTCTCTCTCTCTCTCTCTCTCTCTCTCTCTCTCTCTCTCTCTCATATATATATATATATATATCTCTCTTTCTTTCACTCTGCGTACGTGCTTGTACGTGCATGTGTTATGCTGAATGTTATTTTAGTTGTTATTCTGTTTTTCAGTTCAAGTGTACCTGGACTTAAATAGATCTATAGATGAGCTTTACTACGAGAAGTACGATAATGTGGCTGTGATGTTTGCATCTCTAACGGATTATAAATTGGGCGTCGAAGACGATGGTGACTTAAATGACAAATTTTTTTTGCGCATATTAGACGAAATTATTTCGGATTTTGATAGAGTGAGTAAATACATACATACGATTGCTAACCACGTACATAGATAATAACATTCTAATGAATCATAATGCTACCACCATTTTTTGGTTTTGGCCTTTACCAAGGGTTTTATAGCAATACGAATACTTGTCTATAAATCTTTAATGTATTATACTAAAATGCGTCTATAAACCATAATTTCAGCTCTTACTTATGGGCTCATCAACTCACAAAGTAGAAAAAATAAAAATGGCAGGCTGGACCTACATGGCGGCGTGTGGCTTAGATCCTACCCGGCGGGAATCATTCGATTCTATATCATACAACCATTCGATCGGGGACAGTCGACAAACTACACCTTATAATAAAGCGATTCTCATCACAATGGTGGAATTCGCAGCAGCTATAATGATGCAACTACAAACTTTTAACAGAGGCTCTTTTCAGAGTTTTGAAGGAATGAATATAAGAATTGGTAAGTAAATCTATATACTCTCTCAAGTTTCTCATTTATCGTATGCGATAGGCAAAATAAATATGCAGATCCATTTCTTTCCGTTGCTTTAAACGTTTAAATATGTATAATTATTAACAATAAACTATGCAAATAGACTATAGAAAAACTGTTCTACAGCTAACTGCTCACTAATATCGGTTTCTGTAATTGCGAGAATTAAAAAATAATAAATATCTATATATTACCTACTTTGCTTTTAATTATAGTGCACGATATACCTTTTTTTACGATATACCAGCCCGGGGATGCCCGTGGGTTATGTGGGACTAGCCCACTAAAACTATCCGACGCACCCTCTTGGCGGGATGTTGTGGGCCGTGGTATCCCGTAGATTCACCACTACGACGCCTCCGGCCATCTTGACTTCTGCCAAGGTTTCCGCGCTAGAGAGAGGAGGGCCGGACGCTTGACCTTATCCCCCAGACAGAGCGGGTTCGCGTCGACTGCGTCTTCGCGTACTCGCTCTCGGCCTCCTTTTGCGAGACGACCTCCTCGCAAAAAAAGGTCACAGCCTCCCAGGATTCCTCGTCGCTCAGCATGGCAGATACCACGCTTGGCAGCGAGAGATCTCCCCCTATGGTCGCTACCAGAGTGCGGCGTTGCGCACTCCAGCGATTACACACCTCTAAGGTGTGCACGATATACCAGCCACATGTATTTAAAAACAGTCATTAAAATAAACGAAAGTATTTCGAATTTCGTTTTTGTTTTTTCTGTTTCATTTTTGTATTTTTTATATATTCTTCGCGCATGATGAGTCTTAGTAAGAAGAGCGAAAATTTAATAATAAGCTAGTGTATCCCTACTACGCCTAATTTAAAACAAGAAACGACATTTAGTCATGGAAAACTGGCATCACTTTTTCTATTTTGCATTTTCATTAATTCTTTAGTCTTTTATTATATATTTCCTCGCATTGTTTGAGAAAAGCACTATACCTCTGTACACCTCGGCGAGAACGAGGATTGTCTGACTCGTATAATACAAGGTAAAAAGATATATCTTTTTACCTTGTATAGCAGTATGAGTTATAACTCATACTGCTATCCGCTAACTAATACGCGGCTATGTGACAAGTGGTCAAATATCCAGTAGCATACTCGCCTGGGAATTGTTTACTTCCCGGCCTTTGCAATAATGTACTATTTTTGTATAGGCGATTGTCCTAAAATACATTAAGTGCCACTTTATACAGAAGTTAATTATAAAACATTTGTCCAAGGTATTTCAAATGGAAAAGTCGCGGCAGGTGTAGTGGGCTCTCTGAAACCACTGTACGATATTTGGGGCCACGCCGTTAACATGGCTTCCAGGATGGACTCCACTGGAGAAGCTGGAAAAATTCAAGTGAGATGCATATAACTCAAACATTATTAACACTATACTTATTAGCTTTCTCAATCTCATAGCCATTATTCGATGTCAAATAAAAGACAGAATATAGCACAATATATCGCACTGTTAATATAATAATGTATTAACTCACAAAGTGTATTTTTTCAAAATCGATGAATAACGAATTACTCACTTGCTGAAAAATATTGTTAGAACTTATATATAGTTTAAAGTTTATCACAGACATCTAAACAATTTGCTACTTCCGAAATATCATATTTAAAAATAAAAGGGAAAAATCATTTAGTATTTCTTAGAAAGCTGTTTTGTCCAGAAATAGCTCACAAAAAATTGTCTCATTTTCAGTTGAATAGATATATTTCAATTGTTTCTTGCAACATTCAAACGACGGTTTTATTTACTTGAAGAGAATCATATTTTAGGTTCAGCTGTGGCATAATCTTGAATTTCACATATTTTGAGTTACAACGTTATTGTAATAGCAGTGCGATATCCTGAAATTTATTTCAATTGTGATTTTTACAGGTAACTGAAAATACAGCATATATTTTGGACGAATGTGGGATACTCACTACATACAGAGGTGAAACCTTCGTTAAAGGAGCTGGTTACATTAAAACATACTTCGTGCCGCTTGATGAGAAATTTTGCTTAATAAAGAAAGAACAAAGCATGGAATACTATAGAATTCATGACAAGAGCCGTTATTGTCATTTAAAGAATGCAGTGCTTAGCGATGATAGCTGGATGGAGGATAATAAATCACAGAGTTCCACTTATGATGTAAGAACCTTATCCATGTATGATGGTAATAGTGATGAAGATAGTAATAATAGCTATGAAGGTAATGATTATATCAATAATAGAAACAAAAGTCATGCGTCTTTAGAACACGAAGTTATTGAAACTCGGTGTTGAATATTGTATATAGAAAATCATTATGAAATGTTTTCAACTGTATGTATACGACCACGATGTTATAAAAGGTTTTACTCGTAAAAATAGTTTTAAAACACGTTTTTTGTACTCTGAAATCGACTGTAGAAAATCGTCAGTTGTTATAAAATGATAGTTATTAAGTATATAATTAAATGTAAACTAATTTTATGTAAATTAAGAATGTATTTACAGTAAAATAAAGAAATTCTTTCAGATCGTACCTACTTTAATGCCAATGCCCTTTTGAAATGCTAACTAAACGTGGAATAATCGATATATTTAATACGTTAATATACTTTTGGTGATGTATAGTTTTCTAAGGAAATCCTTGTAATATTTAAAAAGAGGCTGCTTTATATTAGCAAATTAGCAATTGATTAACTAATCAATTTGTTAAACGATACTATTACGCGATTAAGTAAAAAGAAAATACAAAACATAACTTCACGCGAAATTGTCATTTACCATTTTTATTTTACTTTCTCGTACACATTTGTAATTCTGTCCAAGCATGCGCATTTAGAAGCAAACGATTAATACCGTGATTGACATTCCTATTCCTATTCCATTTTGTCGAGTCGCAATAAAAAAAAAAAAAAAAAAAAAAAAAAAAAATTCCTTTTCATTTTAACAGTGAAGTGGTCAGTGATCTTAGAGGATGAAAAAAAAAGGAAGTCGAAGTCGGTGATAGTTAAAAGGTTTCAAACGATAACGTCAAACATATTTTAATAACTAAGTACATCGTATTATTATTAGCAGGATACGGTTAGTCGTTAATTTGTTTCCTTTATTTTTCGAAAATAGACGTATCTAATAGACGTATTGCGACTATCCAAATCAAACTAATTTTCATATTCTTGATGTAACAAGGCAACATTTGCAAAATGATAACTTTTTAGGAAGATGTTTAAAGCTACATCTCTCCAGAAAAGTTGTCATTTTACTTTTACGAACAAATTCATCGATAACTTTTATTTATAAAAGCCGATACGACCTCACCTCGAATTCAATTTTTTCCCGTACTAATACGGTTCATTTTGCTTGGGCCGAGCACTGCGGCAGGGCACTGACTTTATTCCAGAATAATTTTTTTTTACAAATGAAATTAAAGCCATTTGGAAAATATATATCGCACTGCCATTACAATAGTGTTGTAACTCAAAATATGTGAAATTTAATATTATATCATTACTGAACGTAAAACTTGATGCTCTACACTTCAAAACAACCGTCTTTGGAATATTGTAAGAAACAATCAAAAGACATCTACTTAACTCAAAATGAGACACACTTTATGTGAGCTAGTTCTGGCCAAAATAATCCTTATTGAAAAATATGATATTATTTTTTCCATTTTATTGTTAAATATATTTGGTAAATTATTTAAGTGTCTATAATAAACTATAACATATAGATTTTATTGATTTTTTTGCGGGAAGTGAGTAATTCATTTTTCATCGATTCTGAGAAAGTCCTCTTTTTGAGTTACAATACTATTGTAATGGCAGTGCGATATCGTATAGGTTACTATACGTGTTTTATTTAGTTCACTTCACAAAAAAAATCATTGGTATATGTAAGGTACCTATTGAATAAGCGGTTTTTTTGTAAAATTTCGAAGTGTGTATTTTTTTTATCGTGAAAATTTTTAGGAATCGTATTAACGCGCCGTGTATATCTTCAATTTTACTGTATATTTTTTCCAAAGTTATTGATTCAATACTTTCACAGTTACGCGGAATAAACTAAAGCCAATTGAGGTTGTATAGACTCTTAAATAGGAGAATTATAACATTTCACATGTAGGCATTGACTTACAGGTATATAATTTGTTTCATGTAATCCGTAATATTTTAACGACTTTCATGAAATAAAGCAGTTTTGACGTATGACTACATGTGGCTTTATTATACCAAGGGTACGTTACAATGAGGTAAATAATTGGCTATAAAAGTTTCCGTACCTAATTTGTAAGAGCCGTCTACATACGTGCGGCGCACTATAAGTTTCCGAAATGAATAAGAAAAAATACTATAAATGGTCAGAAATTCATTTATTGTTTCTCAAAATATTCTCCGTTAGCGTTAATGTACTTTTTCATACGAATGAACCAATTTTGAAAACATTTATGCCACTCCTCCGTGACAATCTCTGATACATACTTTTCATACTATTCGACAGCCTCTTCAGGTGATGAAAATCGTCGACCGCGAAACTGGTTCTTAATTTTTGGCCATAAATTAAAATCACAAGGTGCCAGGTCGGGACTGTACGCGGGATGGCTCATAAGGTCAACATTGTTCACCTACAAAAATTCATTTGTCTGTCTGGCCGTGTGAGAACTGGCATTATCGTGGTACAAGATGATACGGCGTTTACGGTTATTTTTACGGAATTTGTCAATAACTTCCGGCAAACAAATCGTCGTGTCAAACGGTCGTGTGCCAATCGCTATTCACGGTACAACGATTCTCCAAAGCAACAGTAGCTACGTGTCCAGTTTTATTAAAAACAGAAACAATCATCCGCTTAGAGGCACTTTGCACGCGCGTCACTTTGGTTGGTTTCGGGTCATGTCGAAAGACCCATACGCTCGATTGCTGTTTTGTTTTGGGATCGTAACTATAAATCCATGTTTCTTCACCTGTTACAATGTCCCGCACCAAATTTGACGACCCTTTGTTAATCTGGTAATCATGGCATTGCACCAAGTGACGCGATCCGTTTTTTGAGCCTCAGTCAAATTGTGTGCGATCCACCGAGAGCACAGCTTTTTTACACCCAAACGTTTGTGTAGTATTGATAGTATTTGACTCATGCCTATGCCTAAAGATGCCCAAATCTCATGATACGTCACATGTCTGTCTGTTTTGATCATGCGGTGCACAGCAAAGATGTTTTTGTCATTCTCAGCAGTGGACGGGCGACCATCACGAAATTCGTCACTGAGATTCACATGACCACATTTGAAATCTGCAAACCAGCTATAAATAGTCGTCTTGCATGGTGCTTCATCGCCAAAAGAAGTTTGAAGCCGAGCGAAACTCCATTGAGCTGTTAAATTACACATAAAGTCGTAGAAAATCATACTACGAAAATTTTCACGAGTTAAATCCATGGTGATGTAGACAACCAATGTCTAAAATGACGCCACATTGTAAAAACAAGTGACAGTCAGATGAAACAAACTGTATTCTACAGCCAAAGAGTTCCATTTTCAAATGTTGTAATTACTTTTTAAATATTGCTTATGTAAGTGGCCAGTTCCGGAAACTTATATTGCGCCCTATGTATTTTCCATTCGTTGGGATATATTAGTCGACAGAAAGCACAGGTTGAAATTATTCTGATATTCTTCTACCACAGTTTTTTTTATAATTTACAGTTTTACAATTATTATTATTAATATTGAGCCCAATCACTATCATTTCAATTTATTTATTTACATAAGAATCTTAACATGCTTTAAGCCTATCTCATAAAAACATTGCACAAAATGAAATACTATCTTAGATGTTTGTGTTAGTGATGTGTTAGTTGAATACGGAAACTTAACAGAAATAATAAGGTATTACACACAAAATATAAAATCCGAGTATAGAAATACGTATGTAAAACTTCATACATTGTATCCATGTGCCTTAAGTTTTTTGATGTCATACAAATGTATTATTTCTTTTTATTATTTTTGTGTTTGAGCTTGGTAAAAAGTGCACCTACTCCAGATGATGCGGTGGATATACCATAGATACATGCCATTTATACATATCTTAAATACACTAGTATATTTTTGACTATGGCACCTAGGTAAGTATTATTTGCATTTGTTTCCTATTAATATACGCATTCACTGTATTTCCTCAACTCCTATGTACTTAAAACACATATCCTAATAGATGTGGAAACAGGATATTTCAGCTTACAGTCCAAGATTTAGGTTTTTATACTTACTAGAAAAGTTTACTTTTCAATGACAATGTTGTTCTCGGCAAAATAAATTCTATTAATACAAGAGAAGGAAACTAAACAAGGCCTAACATTCAAGAGGTTACATTTTCAATTCGTGACGATGATCGCTATACAATGTATTATTAAATAAAGGTTTATAGAGCTCATAGACGTTTTATATAGTTAGTATATTGCTAAAGTAGAGCCGATTTTAGAGGCTTTTAGTCAATGGCCATCTATTATTTAATCTAAGTATTAATTGGATGAGGTGACATACTACGTACGTTACGAATCTAAGGGCTTGCTGAAGCATTTATGTTAGTCGACGATAGATGGCAGTGTGTTGTTTACCAAAATTATATCGTATACTATGATGTGAAGACGAATGTACAATGTTTTAATTGAAAATCGTCAAGTTCTTGGTCGGTTTTATATATTATTAATTTTATCTATATATATTTCAGCAATTAAATTACCAGCAGCAACGGTTACTAGAATATTTTTGCAGAGTTTACCATGCGTGCCCTAAAAAAGTCCCACTGCTTTCAAATTAATTGAAAATGAAATATGCGAGATACGGGACTAAATAAAAAAGCTTCGGTGTTGCGTTTTTCATCTTCAGAGGGTAAGATAGTTATACGTTGAAGTTGACTGAAATATTTCCTGATGGAAAAAAGAAAATTGTGATTGTAACTCAAGAATGCAGAAATGATGACGAAGGCGAAGGTAGCCCTGAAGATAGTATTTCATTTTGTGGAATGTTTTTATGAGATAGACTTAAAACATGTCAAGATTCCTATGTAAATAAATAAATTGAAATGATAGTGATTTAGCTCAATATTAATAATAATAATTGTAAAATTGTAAATTATAAAAAAAAACGATGTTAGAAGAATATCAGAATAATTTCAAACTGTGCTCTCTGTCGACTAATATATCCCAAGGAATGAAAAATACATAGGGCGCCATTAGGGCGCATTATAAGTTTCCAGAACTGGCCACGTACATAAACAATATTCAAATTAGACGCTTATAAAGGCGCTGCAATGGCGCCTATTATAAGCGCTATAGTGTTCGCGTTAGGGCGCGTTCAAATTAGCCGCGCTGCCGCAGCGCTGCAGCGCGTCTAGAATTGTATGAAAAGTGACAGTCGC